GCCACCACGCCCAGCAATCACCAATTCTTAAAATGACCTATTCCTGGGAAGACTAAAACAAGCCCAACTATGCTCTGTATTGGTGTTATGAGAAATTACTTTCTTTTATGTACATTTTCTATTCTCCATATTTTCTAAAGTGGTCATACATTATTTTTCTTTTTATTTTTTTTCATACATTATTTTTCTAATTCGTAAAAAGTTGAACGGGCCTGCCTGGTTTTCGTCTCCCGCATCGTTGTTCTGCCACAGGAGCTGGGCACAGACAGACCTCTCCCTTCCTCATTAGCACGTAGTGATACAGGAGAAATATGCCTCCCAACCTGCTGGAGGTCAGATGTGCCGAGTTCGTGTCCCCTGAAGTCGAAGAATGAATTCTGAAGGACAGCGGAGGTTAAGAATAGGAATGTTTACTGAGCGATAGCTCCAGAGAGAGAGGAGGGTCCTGAAAGTAGGTAGCCCTTTGTCAGGGGAAATTTATACAGCAAAGTCACCGTGTGGGTACATCGTGTGTCACACCGCCATCAGTCTATAGGATTGCAAGTACAGCGCTTAGCCAGTATTCATCCAATAGGGAGGCCAGGCACATAGCGAGGTACAAGGAAAGAACAAGGCCCTTTCGAGGAAGGGATGGGTCCTGGTCACCCACCTGCGCCTACTGATGCCTATCTGACGAGGTGATACCAATGACAGCACAGTTCCAAGTCACTGTTTACCCCTGAGGGAGCCGTGGAGGCCTGGCCACTGCGTCCCTTTCATGAGGCCTGGCCTTCTTCCGGTGCGCCTCCAGCCACAATTCTGATGTGTTTATTTTTTCTGCGGCCTTCTCGAGAGCCCAGCCCCTCTCAGACGCGTAATAATTTCCATCTAACTTAGCTGCCTAATGCAGCTTGCAATTTCTTTAAGGTCTGGCATTCTGTACATTTTGTGAAGGTAGGAAAAACAGCAGTCTGGAGAGATTCCGTTGGAGCGGTGAATAAAAGCTTCATACGAGTCTACACCTTTTACCAAGAGAGGAGCAGAATCACCTGGCACCCCTGTGTGCGTGCAGTGGTGTGTTACACACCCAGAGTGTGACGATGGGAGGCGGGAGTGGCTGTGGTGAAGATTCAGGATTGAGTCCACACGCGGCGCAAAGGTCAGTTAAGGAATTCCCTTGACGGTACCCTGACCAGGTTCCTCCGAGCCCCCTGAGGTCCTCTCAGGTCTTCCCGCTTCTTCCTGGCTCCAGTCTCTGAGCTCAGAGGCCTCACCCTTTCTGCCGCCCCCCCGGCTCTGCGCCAGTTCACAGCAGAGCTTTCAGTTCCACTACCCAGAGAGCCGGCGGCCCACACAAGCCAACAAAAATAGCAAATACACAGTTAAAATGTTCAGCCTCGGTAAGGAAGGCAGGACAAGCATGCAGTCCGCTCTCTCTTTAATTCAAGCAGCATTTAAAAAGTAGCAGAGCTGCGATGAAAGGAGCCTTCTGCTGGTGGATTGATGGAGGAAGGTTAGAATATATTTCAGAAAGCAGTTTGGCCATGGATATCAAGAACTTACAACACTGTTGCCTTTTAATCCAGTAGGTTTTAATTCCAAAGGAAAAAAACATTAAAATATGATAAAGCTTTATGTAACATGATGCTTTTTTTTTTTTTTTTTTGTCTTTTTGAGACATGGCCTCGCTATGCAATTCAGGCTGGCCTTGAGCTCAACTTGTAGCTCAGGCTGGCCTCGAACTTGCAGCAATCCTCCTGCCTCAGCCTCCCGAATGCTGGGCTTACAGGTGTGTGCCACCATGCCCAACACTTACCTTTGATATTATTCAACATTTACTATTTGTTTTTGGGACAGAGTTTCACTGTGTAGTTCAGGCAGCCTTGAACTCATGATGTAGCCCAGGCTGGCCTTGAACTCACGGTGATCCTTCTGTCTCAGCCTCCCAAGTGCTGGGATGACAGGTGTGCCCCACTACGCCCAGTTTATAACAGCATTTTATAGACCGAAAAACCAGGAACGAATCCTTAGTAAACAAATAATAGCACACTCATGCTATGAAAAAGAACGAGTCATTTCATATTTTCAGCAGCACAAGGAAATTACAACACTATCTTGCAAAGTACAAAATTACATAGAAAAGTACATAGTATTGTTGTAGGCAGCTAAGTTAGATAGAAATGTTATAGGCAGTCAGGGCTAGGCCTTCAGAGGAGCGTTGGAACACAAGATACCTTACAACTGTAGGAGAGACAAGCACTTCTGCTGTGGGCCAGACCTCAAGACAAAAGATTAAACAAATGCACCCACATACCTCCCTAGGGATGGACATCAGGGATTGATATTCTAAATAGGTAGCAATCACCTTGAAAAATCTGGAAGAGTCACTAACCCAACCCCCTTCAGGAAAAGCCCCTGTTCGGTATTTATGCCTGCTTCCTGTGTGACTCGCTTCCCCACTGGATCCTGATTTAATCAATTTTGTCTGAACAATTATACTTGTAATCTTATTGGTTGACTATAGTTTTGTCCCACCTCATGCCCACCTAGCCAGTTCCCATGTTTTCCACCTTGGACCCACCTCACTTGGTGGATTTGCTGTATAAAAATCCCTAGGAAGCCGGGCGTGGTGACATATGCCTGTAAACCCAGCACTCAAGAGGCTGAGGCAGGAGGATCTTTGCGAGTTTGAGACCACCCTGGGCTCAAAACAAGACAAAAAAAAAAAAAATCCCTAGGAAAGGCTGGGTCATCGGCAACCTGCTCGGGCCCCCTTCTGTCCCTGTCTTGGACAGAAGCTTTCTTTCCTCCAATAAATATATTCTGCTCTTAACCTCTGTTGTTCCTAAAATTCATTCTTCCATGTTAGAGAACATGAATTTGGCCCAGATATCCTTCGGTTGGGAGTTTCTTTCCCCTACGTCATTGTGATCAAATTACACTCGGCAGTGAAAAGACAGGGTTAGTGATGGGAATATATGAACAGCAATTCTATCTGTAGAATGTTCAGTTTTTCTTTGTCTTTCTTCCTTCTTCTTCTTCTTTTTTTTTTTTTTTTCTTTTTGAGACAGGGTTTTGCTATGCAGTTCAGGCTGGCCTTCAACTCACTATGTAGCCCAGCTGGCCTCACATACATAATGATCCTCCTGCCTCAGCCTCCCAAGTGCTGAGATTACAAGCATGTGCCACCACGCCCGACTTTCTTTTTCTTTCTTTCCCTTCCTTTCTTTGCTTCTTTCTTTCTCTTTTTCTGTTCTTTAAAATTTTTTTTCTTGATTTTTAAAGATATTTCCCAGATTTTCTGCCATAAGACTGAATTTTATAACAATAAAAAAATCTGTCTATCTATCTATATCTATCTATCTATCTATCTATCTATCTATCTATCTATCTCTCTCTCTCTCTATCTCTGCATGGCCGTAGCCCAGACAGTAGACAAGTCACCTGGCTGATGGTTCTGAGTTCTTGAAGTTTTTATTTGCTTGTGTTTTGGGAATCGGGTCTTTGAGTAAGCGAGGCCAGTGTTCTACCGCAGAGGCAACTCTCCACCCTTGAATTCTTGAAATTCTTGAACCGTATACCTCCTGGCTTTGCTGGTTCCCCGTTGTGACCTTGGACAAGCTCCTTTACCTTTCTGTTTCAATGTCTTTGTTTAATAAAGATAAAACCAGCAGGGCTGAGTCACAAATCAGCGACCGAGTGAGCGCGGGGCGCTTCGGGCACAGGGACGCAGGGCGCACGCTCTCGAACCCAGTTCTCACCGCCCCCTGCGCGCGCGTCCGGTGGATCCGGGGGGACTGCAAGCTCGGACGCTGGCCCCGGGCGGTGCTGACACACAGCGGGTCCTTTGCTCAGAGGCTGGAAATGGGGTTGAGAGGGAGGGAGAGTGCCGTCCCACCAGAGCACCCCAAGAGGAGGGCCGGGGTGGCGCTGGAGCGGACCAGAGAGCCCCAGCTCCCCAGCGCCGGCCAGCCGCTCTCCGCGGGGGTTTCCCTGGAAGGCAC